AGATTGCCTGGGCTCAGTCTTACTCTGACTGCCATTTTTCCCTCCACAAGCCATTAAACTCTTATTTGGTGCTTTGGTTATCTCCAGGGTGTTCTGGATACTTAAATTTTTGTGTGTGCATAAAAGGGCACAGCCATTCTCACACTAGATCAACTATCCCGAGAATGCTTGATGAAAATAAATATAGTGTGAATAATCATCTTATTGTATTGCACATAGAGATTTTAATTATTTCTCTTTGTCCTGGGGTTCAACTGATTGCCACCAAAAAAAAAAAAAAAAAAAAGGAGAGAGAGAGCTATGATGATCTGGAAACATGTAATTTATTCTTTATCTTGCTCTTAGCACTATTAATATGTGTCTGAGATTCAATACCTTTAGAAGGATTTTCTCCAAAAAGCTGCCTCAAAGTTTGGAATGATTTTGCCATCTCAATGGCAATGTCCTAAGTTAATGAGATGAATAATCTAAAAAGAACATAGCAAAAACAAAACAAAACAAAAAAACCCACCACCAGACTGTCATTTATTAACACAATTTTATATAGTGGCATATGCTATTAGAGAAATCAGAAATCCATAACACACAAATTTGTATTGGAAATACAAAAATCATTTGAGAGTCAAGAAATCAGGTTGACAGCACCACAAATGTTTTACTCAGTCTGAGCAGGTGTGTAGTATCCAAGAATAATAAAAATTCCTATAGGACAGACTGAACGTCATAAAACTGCAAACACATTTCGACATTATTTCCCATCCACCAATAAGAATCTGCAGGCATCCCCCAGGAGGCCTGGGGGATAATAAAAGGGCAGCGAGGCAGAAAACTGGTGCAGACTTCTCTTTCTTTTGACCTTCGCAGCCAGCTCGTGATAGCAAATAGCAAGCTGTGAGGGGTTTTTACCTTCTCACCTAAAGGCATGGTATAAAAGTTTAATAAAACACACACAAGGCAAGTCAGAGAAACTGAAAACAGAGTTTCGACTGAAATATTATCCCACATCACTCACTGAATTATCTGATCCCTAATGTGAAGTATAAAGCAAACAAAATGAAAAATTCTATATCAAAGGAGTCAATCTCAACTTTGTATCTCAACACTTCTTATGTAATAAGTGTGTCTCCACTAGAGAAAGTACCACATTCAATGAGGTGTATGTAGTGGTTAGGGCAGAGAGGAAGGGAGGCGGGAATATTTCCAGGGCTTTCCTTTCTAACATATAGTTCACCATCTCAAGGGCCTCTTAGGAAGCTGCCCTTGTCATGCCTGAACTTCTATATGGAGGCTGCTAGGAGCACTTGGAGAGCTCAATCTCCTTTTCTTCCCACATGAGCTTCCTTCTGCCACCTGTGCTCTTCCCATGCGTGTGCCCTATTTTGTAGTGATGGCAAGGATTTGTAAGAAGAATATCTGAGCAAATGGAAAGGTGCTGCTTTAATGTATAAGCATTCTGGTACTAGGAACAGTTATAAATAATGGGCCATATCAAAAGTTGCCTCCTAAATGATTGGCTTCCTTTCCTTATAGAATTAGCATTTACCCATTAGGTTGTTCTGGAAAAGAGTCTGTGCCCAGCTAGTGAGCTCTCCAGCCACGAGACACCAATTCTTGATGTTCGTGAGGCTGATACAGAACTTCTGCCCCAAATTGCCTGAGCTGGTCTCAAGTAGCACCTGACCAGTCAGGATTTTCAGTTCTGGGCTCCCCCAGTTCATCCTTTCCTGGGAACTTTATCACCACCAGTCATGCTTATGTATAGTTGTGTTCTTCGTTCCAAAGAAAGGAGTTATTTCATAATCCAGAAGAGACAGTTTTTATTTTTCTCGAC